CCTTGCGGTTGAGGTCCAGGGGTGCACACTGCGATCGGATCCTTGCGCTTGAGGTCCACGGGTGCACACTGCGATCGGATCCTTGCGGTTGAGGTCCAGGGGTGCACACTGCGCTCGGATCCTTGCGGTTGAGGTCCAGGGGTGCACACTGCGATCCGGAGCTTGCCAGACAAGATCGGCGAAGCAGATTGGCGAAGCAGATTGGCGAAGAAGATTGGCGATGAAGATTGGCGATGAAGATTGGCGAGGAGGTTGGCGAGGAAGGAAGGAAGGAAGGAAGGAAGAGGAAAAACAACTGTGATAAAATCTAACAACCCTCACCTGGCAGGTGGGGAAAAAGCCTTGAGAAAACCAATAACAACCTAGGAAAAACAAAAAACAAAAAACTTTGGAAAACAAAAAAACACAAAACACAATTCTGGGGAAGTCTTGAGGAAGGGGGGGGTCCAGCCAAAAGTATCTGAGAATTGTTTTTTGTTTTCCCAATGCTTTTTTTGTTTTTCCTAGGTTGTTTTTGGCTTTCCTAAGGTTTTGTTGTTTTTGTTTGTTTTTTACTGCAAATTATTCACTGTTTTTTTGTAGTTTTGCTTGTATTTGTTTTTGTGGTTTTGATTGTATTTGTGAAAGCTTGTCTACAAATACAGAAAACCAAAAAACCCAGGCCCCATGGCCCATGGCCACCCCTTCTGTAAATATAATAGGCAAAAAATTGTGTTGGAGCGTCCATCTGCAAGTGAACGGACCAGCTGTAATGGATTTTCTCTCAGGTAGGCCGTAGCTCGAGTCGTTTTCGAGGCTTCGCAAGGAAAAACATTTTTTGATCGATGTTTGGGGTGTGGTGTACCCCCAACCAATTCCAATCCACTCCAAGTCCCCACCCGCCGTACCCTTCAACTCCAATGAATCCGCCCGATTGGGATTGGCTCGATCGCAGGTCGATGAAAACAACTGGTTCGATCGTCGTCGGGTCGATCGTCGTCTGATCGGTGGAGGTTCCTCGCATCCCGGCGGGTGTTCCCTCCGAGGTATCAGCAGCTATTCCTCGCTGCAGAGTTACATGGAAAGCTACGATTCGGAGACCGAATCAGATTGGACGGGCTGAACGATCAGCTCCGTGTCGGTGAGGAAGGTATTTAACGAATTTAAATGAATTTAAAGCTTTTTAAAACCAGTCAACTTTCCCGGAGCGCAGGAGGACCGACAACGGGACGACTTGAATGGGTGTGAAAGCAAAATTAAGTATCAGAGACCATGACACTATGTGGTGCTTTGGGATGCTTTGGGAAGTCTGGATGTGGTCCAAGGACCATTCTTCTTACCTGACCCCAAAGCACAATCTCCTGCTTGTGCTGGCTTCGGATTCACAGTTCACCACAACTGTTGGCTGGCTTCCTCAGCCGAGAAGAGATCCTGAGATGGATCGAAAAGTTAATCCTGCAGCCTGCAGGCAATCAGTAGCGGACATCAATTTTATTCTTAAAAAAACAATTGTATCCACAGGTTCTCTTGTAGGTTTCACTGATAGGTGCAGACTCCATATTTGGAACATCAGCGCCGTTCACCCAGCTGCGGGTGCGGTGATGGATACTGTATTTCCATGATGTTCCGCGCCTCCGAGCCTGCTGTGAAAAGAGAGTGCGATGGGTCAAAGGAAAGGATTTCTGGGAAGAGCAGAGGATTCAGTGCGGAGTGCTTTTGGAGTGCTTTGGACATTTGGATTGTTCGGGTCAGTGCGGCTCATTTTTTCGAAAAAAACAAGAAAAGAGCTCTGACAATCTCAGTGCGGCTCACCTTTTCGGGTCAGTGGAAGAGCTCCACGACTCACCCGCGGATCGACCTCAACGGCTCCACCAGCAGTGCCCGATCGATCGCCCGATCGGGTCGTCTCGCTCGGTCAGGTGCTTTCATTCTGACCACCTTAGTGGCCCTTTCCCTGGTGCCTTGGGACGAGCCGAGGTGGACCAAAACCGGATCCTTTTTAGACCTTGGATGCTCTGTAGGTAAGTCTTCTTAGATCAAATATGATCAAATCATTTTGAACTCCCTGGATCAGTATGGATTGGAACATCCGACCAGGCAGCTTATTCCGAAAAGACAGAGGTTTTTCGCATCGATGTCCACCAAATTGGATCCCCTGAATCTTCACCCATGACAACTCCCTGGCTCACTCGAGCTCATCACAAGCAAGCTGGACTCCCTTTCAGTTTCACCCACAGCACCAATCTGTCCGCCATTGCCACATCTACTCTGGGATGTGCAAGCTTCATCTTCATCCTCTTTGCTAGGGTTTCACCGATCTTTCACGGCCTTCATTCGGCAGAGCTTCGGCAGCCCCCGCAAAACCACGGCGGGTTTGGCCGAACCGAACGCGAAGCCGATGCTTCCCGGAGGGTGGGGGGCGGCCGCTGAGGCCTTCGTTTCCTTCAGATCTTTGAGCTTAAGATGGGCCTGCCCACCGCCACGCACCTCGGCCCCGTTCCCGCGGAGCACCAGCGTCACGACAGACGCAAGCGGAAGGGCCGATTTGGACGGGTTGGAATGCACCGGTAGCGGTAGCGGAAGACGGGAGCGAGCGCGGAGCGAGGGCGGAGCGAAGGAGCTCGGAGGAAGATTCACAGCTTTAGCATGTTGTTAAACTCTAAGTGGATCAATCAGTGTAAGCGATGGCATGTGTCCTTTACAACTCTGTGATTTTGCCGTGAATCAATGATGTGTCCAACTGAAGGAGCGCGCGCTCTTACAACGTAACGGGACGGATCATCCCAGTGCATCAGTCCGTCCGGGACGTTTGGAGGATCGATCGACAGGATGGCGCCAGACCGTTTTGGCGGACCTGTCGCGTAGAAAGACCCACAGTGTATAGTGGCGGTTTATAGATGTAATAATCCTATGGCAGGATGGCTGCAATACTTTCTGTGGAATTGTCAAGTCTGAGGCGGCTCGTGGGGACAATATAGGGTGGGTCAAGACACCTCAAGACCGTGGCAAGATGGCATCCTGAGCAGTGCACATTGTTCGTGTGGGGGTCAACGAGGCCAAACCGTTTGACCGCCGCTTGTGGTTGGTTAGACTATTATGGTAATATCAATATTTCATTATTTTCCGCTTATGTGACAAATAATCGAATCCCAGGGGTTAATTTTGACATGATCTATTATGCAGATGACACTGTACTTTTCTCACGGAAACAACCGAGCATTAAACGAATTGCTGAAATTGACAGAGAAAATCTCCAGTGGATACGGACTTGGTCTCAATAAAAACAACTGTGTTGCTATCACTATGAACAACAACGGTTGTATTCATTTTCATGACGGGACCCCTTTGAACAAAGAATTTGAGGCCATGTATCTTGGAAATGAGATAAGCAGGACTGTAAATATAAAACATGAACTCCTCAATAAATTGTCAGAGGTCAGAAGGACCTGGTTTAAGCTCAACGCCTATTGGAAAGCTTCTGGAGCCAGCAAAAAGTGGAAGCTAATCATTTTTGATGCTATAATCCGGAGTAAGCTTTTATATGGGTTAGAAACTATATACTAGGCTGAAATGACAAAGGACTTGTGAAAACTACCTCCAAATTGCGGCGGCTAAGTCATGAAGGTTTAGCCTACCCCCCACAAGTATTTATGTCATGAAGCAAAAGCTTGGAAAAACCTCAAAATCAGAGATGCCAGAGGTTGTCACCAAAGATCCTAAAAACAGTTGATTTTATATTGACAAGCATCATGACATACGACTTTGGTATCTAAACAATGAATAAACCATCGAGAGATAGGAATTTGAGAGCAAAAACGCACAAAGGCAGACTTAATGAGATAGTAATGTGTTCGTCATCTCACCCTAATCTTCCAGGAGCATGCCCCCCACCAACCCCCCCCCCCCCGAAAAAAAAAAAAAAACTCAGGACCAGGTCAACAAGGCCTATGTCATGAGTGTGTGCCAATGAAATTGCAAATTTTACATTTGTACATGACTTAGGACTTGCCCTGGGAAAGTTGTATGTCATTTCGACCCAATTGGCCTAAGTCATCTCACCCTAGTATATATACATTTAACCCAGGCGCTAAGCAAATCACTACATGCTTTCCAATTAAGAAGCTTGAGAAAGATTCTCAAAAGACCGTCTACTTTCATAGATCGGTCATGTACGAATCAAAAGATTCTTGAGGAAGCAGCTGCCCTTGCCTTCCCAACTCGTGGCGATAACAGACAAATTATACGTTTCAGTGATTACCATATTTACAGACGATGTAAATTACTTGGGCATATAATTAGAAGCAGTAATGATGACCCCATGAGACAAGTATCATTCGTTGATAGCACTGCATCCAGAGTTGATTACGGCACCAAACGAGTTGGGAAACCGAGGCAAAACTGGCTGCATATCACAATTAAATTTGCATACGAAAACGTTTTAAGACATCATAATTTCGATGAAAGCACCGATGATGCAAGAATATATGCAGCAAATTGAACAGATATTTTTAATTACCATTCTTTGGCTGTGCCAACGCCTTGCAATAAGCCCGTCCGGACCAGGTCGGCGTGAGGTATGGCTGGAAATAAGTATTTCATTATTTTGGCGCAGGTTTCAGTTGGAATCTTGTGACGGGATGTTTGTCTCATTTGTAGGAACATGTAGGAACTTTGCTCTGTCACTCTTCTCATGTTGCTCATGCTGCCTGGGTGGATCCCCAAGTCGACAGCTCAGCTTTGGTAGATCCCCAAACCGGCCACGACTGCTCCAAGGTATGGGATATGAGTGCCTTGCCAGCGAGGAGATACCTTGGACTGGGCGATCGGATGAGGCCGTGCCACTGACCAGCCAATTTGATGAGGACATCCTCCTTCTGGCTTAATTCAACGGCAGGGTTGGCTGCTTTCCAAGATGGGGGTTTGAAATATGCATACTTAATTGACTTAGTTCATGAAAGGACTGAATCATTGTTTGTGTCTCGTGTGTCCAACAGAATAGCACCTTATTGTTTGAACGTTTTTCTCCCCCACAAAGACCACCAATACCAATATTGATGTGAAATCGTTGTTTTTCCGACCAAAGCTGACAGAGCGGAACAACTGGTTGGGAGAAACCAGTTTGTCTACTAGGTCCACAAAAGACCTTGGATTTGTTGGTTTTGCTGAAAGTGAACTTGTCAGCAACTTTTCGTTGGTTAAGGCTGGTCACTTTTTCAAAAAATCAGTTAAGGGGGGTTCCGATGGTTCTGTGACACTCTCGTGCTATCAGTATCAGTTGCAATTCTTGAATGCTTTATCACGAAAGGTAGCCCTTTAGGGGATACCTTGAGTTTGTCTTGCGAAGCAAGTGTTGGGACGTCCGGGTCTAATAATTGATCGCTCAATTCAGACCCCCCCCCCCTCCCCCCCTCTAAAATCAATTCTCTCCTGGAGAACGTCTTCGTGAGCCTCTCATGATTTCAGGATAGTTGAAACCCTCTTGAACATTTAGAAAGAGTGAATATGAAATTCTAATCACGAAAGGTGATCCCCGAGGGGATACATACCTAGAGTTTGTTTTGTGAAGCACGCCAATTCTCTCCTGGGGAGCGTCTTCGTGAGCCTCTTATGGTTTCAGGATAGTTCAAATCCTATGATGTTCCGATTCAATGCTCACCGATGATCTGAGCCATGGGGCAAGTTTGTTTTCCTAAGAACCTTTTTGAATATTTCGAGAGCATATGTTTGAACATTTAGAGTGCATATGAACATATATTTACGAAAGGTCGCCTCCGAGGGGATAAATCACCATGTCGAACATTGCATTTTTGTTCCTGCCTCTCGCGTTCTCTTCTCTTCCCGCTGTCCTACCTTTCGTGTCTCCCTCCTCTCAAGTATATTTGGGAAGGCAGGGCCAGGTCAAAAGGATACATCTGACATGCATGTTCATTACTTTCTGACTATAAGACTGCCTCATCAGGGGGCGCAACCCTGTGCTTAATTCGATTTGTCTGTAAACTACGAGTCGCTGGTTCAGACATCAAGTATGGCTGCATAAAGGCCATTCCGCAGCACACTGCATTTGTTCATCACTAAAGTCTGAGGTGAGGTGCTGTGTGATGGGTTCTTGCTCAACACAAGCAATCCCTTCAGGAGCAAATAGAGTCAATTGGGGCCTCAACGAATATGGTTTCAAGATACCCAGATCACCAGAGGTGTCCTCAAGACCCTGATGCGGGGAAACTGGGCCCTCTAGCGAGGGTC